GGGGAAGGGGCCGGTAGAGTTACAGCCTGCTGCCCTCCAACAGCACTGAACGTATTCCAGGTTGGGAGAGCTCTTTGTACAAGACAACAATCCATTTGTTTCTGATTTGAGCTGCGTTTGTGGAAGTTTATATTCCTGTTTGTACACGCAGGTGCTCAGCAAGCGTTCCGGTGGGGCAGCCAGTGCAGCTTCATTAATTAGACTCACATTTCTCCAGTAAAAGCACGGGGCTTGTATTATTTTACAGCTGCTTGTGCAAAAAAAAAAGACGCGCAGCTCTGGCTTCTTTTGGTCTTCCTCCCTTCAGCAGCTGAAGGAGCAGGAGGCTGGAAATGCTGAAGTCGAGGGAGGCTGGGAAGGCAAAGCGGGGAGAATGCACAGGTTCTCCTGCCCATGTCCGGATGGATCCTGAGGGCTCTCAGGGGGCTGCTGGCAGCCAGAGCAAACCTCTGCTCTTGCTCTCCTGTTGGGAAACAGGAGCCATAAGCGGCCAAAATGGTGCAGGGATGAGCCTCACGGAAATTATCAGAATTATCACCGGACGCTGGGGTGGGGGGTGCAAGTTTACACCACGACTTGGCTAAAGGGTGCTTGAAAATGTTTATAGAACCATTGCACGGTTTGGGTCGGAAGGGACCGTTAGAGGCCATCTCGTCCCACCCCCTGCAGCGAGCAGGGACACCTTCGGCTGGATCAGGTTGCTCAGAGCCCCATCCAGCCTGACCGTGAGTGTTCCCAGGGATGGGGCTCCTACCACCTCTCTGGGCAGCCTGTGCCAGCGTTTCCCCACCCTCATTGTGAAAAATCCCTTCCTTATCTCCAGCCTGAATCTGCCCTCTTTTGATTTAAAGCCGTTACCCCTTGTCCCGTCGCAAGAGGCCCTGCTGAAACGATTGCCCTCGCGTTAAGAGGCGACGTGCGTTGGCGCGGGGCCGCTCGGGCAGGCAAAGCCACGCTGCTGCAGCCAGCGCCGAAAAGCCCCTCCTCGGTGGGTAAGAGGGTCA